TTGTAATTTTTCCAGATTCCTTTATTTGTCCTTTTTGTGTTTTATTACAACCTAGACGATGTGACAATACAACTGTTGCACTGCCCTGGCAGCCATTTTTACATCTCTTTCGGAATTGTCTCTGCTCATTCGAGCTAGAGGTTTTGTAGTCACCGGGCTTTGAACATTTGTTATTGTTGCATTTTTGTGAAATCTCGCACTGGGCTGGGCCTAATCAACTGTTTATATTATTGTATGTCAAGAGGATTATTTCTGTATACAGTATGTGAAAATGTTTTGTCTCTTGACTATTATAATGGGTTTTAACCTGTGGAAATAATACAAAAAAGCTCAAAAAGAGATAAGACCAAATAAAATGTAACATTCCTGATGTGTTTGTGACATTTTGCATTTCTTAGTGGGAAAAGACGGAACAAGAGAATTTGGTGCCACAGCGAGAAAGCTTTTATGATCTGTCACGAGTTGCTTTAGTGATCTCAGTCGACCAGACAACTTGAAATAGGATGAAATAATCAGCATTTTACAAGTAAATTTGATTTACTGGTGTAATTACATGTGGTAATTGACATATTCATGCACTTTGTGGACTCACTGCCAAGCTAGGTGGCAATTACAAGTGTATAAAGCCTTTTAGTGCCCTTCTTGTAGTCACCTATGAAAGGCCAGAGAGGACATGCATATAATTATCTCCCCTGTGTTGCTTTCTTGTGATGCCAAGTTATTATTTTATGATCTTAACATAACAATAAGTGATTTGTCATCACAAAAAAACATTCTGTCATAAAAGATGAGATTATTCTGTGATGGTGAGAAAGTGGTTTCAACAACCTGGCATCACAGAATAACTGAGAAACAGTCCGTTGTCTGTTCAGTAGCAGTTCTAGCTTTCATCAGGAGATGGCGTTTGCCCTGTTGTCACAGAATTGGAGACATTTGAATATTCATTTTATATGCACATGGTAAAAACTTCTCATCCATACTGTCATAAAAGCTGAGCTTCAGTGTTCAAGAACCATTTGATAGCTGTTCTGGAAGTTTTGATCATGTGACATGATCCTTCTCAGAATTATTTATATGTTTTTTTCACATGGGTGTTTCCTAGTGTATATTTTGAACCCCTTGGGAGCAACCTACTGAAATCCATAGAGACTAGGGATGGGGCTATATGACTTCTTGATATGATTCAATCATGATATAATTAAAAATTCAATTACAACAATATACAACTAGCTACAGAATACTTGTACTTTATTCCTTGTACTAGCTGGGACAGTCTAGGGGAAAAGATACAGTAAGCAATCGGATGCAAAAAAAGGCTTTTTAATTACATCATGTCATTACTGTGTCTTTCTACTTCACAAGACATGGGTTTTCCACTGATCCTTTTGTCATATGAAGAAAGAAAGGGGTCTTTTTTATTTTACCATCACAATTCTTTTTCCTGAATTTTCAAAGTGCTAATTAAAGTGCAACTCATCCTCATGGGAACATGAGTGTCTATATCAGCATGCTTTGCCAGCCAGCCAATATCTATTGAGACATTTCACTCTGAATCAAAAATGTTAACCCTACTGTTGGTGCTAGAAAAAAAGTGAGGGGTCACCAAAGTCATAAGGATTCATCTTCTGTGCATAATGAATGTCTGGATGGACCTTTATGGCAGTCTGGTAGCTGTCACAGATATTTTACTTTGGACCAAAGCGGTGAACCAGCCTACTGAAAACCCTAGAGATACTCACAAAAGTGGCTTTCTGTATCTGGAGCAGATGTGACCATTTGCCTCCAGCTGGCAGCTCCTTTTGCCATTAAATCCAAAGCGATGTCAGTGCTGCCACAGAAGTTGAGGCAAATATGATACCAAGACATCTTTTCACATCTTTTATAAACTAGCAATGTTCAGTGGAAATATTGGCTCAGTATGTATGCACCTTCTATTTGTGCAGCTACAGGCACAACACGTTACATCAGCAGTGAGACCTGGTGCTTCACAGCTGCATGACGGGTGATGACAGTGGAGACGTCGCTGGTTTATGTGGACCGCTCGTACATATCTATGACTATGAACTCACACATTGTTTCCAACTGTTGGTGCCTTGTCAGCCCCGATGTTCTGTTCTGTCTCTTGTAGAATTTGACCGAATGTGATTGCCCATCTTATGAAAAGATGCAGTGGAATAGATAATGAGGGCCTCTGTAATGTTTTTGACCTCTAAATATAGTCACATTAAATCCTTGAGACCTCAGTCTAATCAGGTTATTTCTTTGAATGGGAAGATTTTATGTTAATAATGACAATAGTTAAACCTAATGCTAGGGTAGGTTTCTGGAGAATTAAATAACAGTAGAATTAAGCTGTTACCAGTTTTGCTGGGGACACCATGAAGCAGATTAAGGACTCCTGAGCTTCTTTATAATTCACTAAATGTAAGTGTGCTTATATGCATCTAGGCTGCAGATATCCCTAGTTTGTTTGAACACTTTGCACTGGGATGTTAAAAACTGAAAAAGGACTGCAAAGAAGCTGCAGCCATTCCAGCTCAGCAGCAAGTCAAACATTAGATCTCTCCAGAGGGAGGTTATCATCTCAAATATGAATCTGTTTGAAGAATGAGAGGAACAATGTGGGGTGGTATGGGGGCTTAGTGGGTAGATCCCCAAAACACGCCGTCACAATTTACTGTGACCCTCTCCCTTCTTATCAAGCCTGCCAGTCAACAGGATGACAGAGAATGGAGACTCAGCTACATCAGGGAGAACGTGATGGAGAAACTCTGCAATGCTCGACCCTCCTCCACCCCGGTGCAAGTCTCCGAGGCTCTTGTTGCCATGGACACTGTGAATGAAAGTCTGTAAAGTGCCGTGCTGAGCTCTGCAGTGCCTTCACACTGAACGCTTTGTTTGTTTGTCTTTTCTTTTTATTTGATTCATTTAAATATATTATTCAGTTTATTTATGTTGCATGTATTGTATTCTTTTTAAATTTTGTACAATAAATATAATAGAAAATGTTACATATTTTTAAATAAAACCTAAAGTTTTATTGAATAGACTCACTTTGAAAATAAAAAAGATAATGCTGTAATATACAAAAAAAATTTAAGATAAAATAATAAATTAAATATGAACTGGCTTCAGTTAGTATTAAGATGACCTCACATTTTGAACATTTATTTAACTTGTGGATTTAATTTCAAATGAATAAAACTGTCATCAGTCTATATTCAATAATCCATAATGACAAAGTTAGGAAAAGTTTTCAAAATAATTACAAATTTGTTAAAAAACAAAAACTGAGATAGCTGTTTTAAAATGACTGTATACATACATATACAAATGCAAACCAGTGTGAGTTAAACCTGCTTTTTTCAGGTTTCAACTGCTTCTGTTCAACATCATAGCAGAGATCAGATCTTTCAATTTTCAGCTCAGTTTATTAATCAAACCAGACTCCCGCCAGTCAGAGTATTCCATCCCCCAAAAGAGAACATCTTATCAACAGAGTGGGAATGAACTTCTCTCCCTGTCTCTCTCCATTTTTCTCTGCTCAGCTGCATTTGAAGTGAAACTTTAGTTTGGCAGAACAGCAAAGTGAAACGTGAAAGGAAGAGATCCAAATGTTTGCTCAAGATGTGATGAAACTTGGATCTGGTCCATAAGTTGCAAAGGTCATTGTTTGGTGTACATTTATCTGTCTTATTTTATTATTTGTTTATGTAAAAATGTTTGGAAATATTTAATATGGTAGTGTCCTGATATTCGTCGATAATATGACATAACAATAAATGGGGAGCAATTCAATTTAAGTTTTTATTTATTTTATGCTTTATGAGAGTAGCTAATTTGAGTTGTTGGCTGGTTGGTTCAATTTGATGGCTTATCCATGCTAAAGAGGTACAGTTATTGAGGATAAAAACAAGACTTATTTAAGAGTAGCCATTCACAGTGTAGAGTAATCCAATCAATGTGATAACACTCAGCTCAGTAGAATAAAACATGTCTCGAGCAGGAGAGTTCAGAGGACCTGAAAACATTTCAGAAGACTAAAAAGGTCACAAAAGCTTTTGTAAAACCTTAAGAGCAAGTGGAATAAATCCAGCACTGGAACCATACACTTTATAAGGTAGGTTGTTCTGAAAAGCTCTCTGCAAGAGCACAATACAGATCTCAGTGTGACGAATCTGTAGCCTTACAGTATTCTGCACTTTCTAACATCTGGTTTTATGACTGATCCCCCTAAAAAGAAAGTATTGGACACATGCAGACCTAGATTTTCCACAGTGAACAATATTCTGCTGACATATGAGCCAAAGTTTAACTTTCGGGGAAAAAATATATCAGTGTTAATTTTGTAAAAACAAGCAATGCATATCAACAGCTTAACCCAGTCCAAGATGTCAACCATGATGTGGGGGGCACCTAAAGGGGTTTGAGGCTGCTTTTCAGCCTCAGGGTCTACACAAGCTGCAGCAACTGAGGAATCAGTGTAGCAGGAAATACTGCAGAACATCAGGCCATACTGGTTAGTCAATAAAATTGTGAACATATACTGTATATCTACAAGAGACTACTGAACATGTGTATTTTGTGAATGTGTGATGCTTACTGGTAATGTGGCACATAAATGGTGTCAGAAACTTTCACTCATCCTATTGAAAGTGGTGCATGGTGAATAATAAGAAGCTAAAGCTATTTTTTTTAAATTTTTATTGAGATTCTGATATTTGACAATGATGTTTCCATTTACTCTGAAATATATATATATATATTATACGTTTTGTTTTGTAAATATGTTATAATACAACTCATATAATCACATATATAAAAGGACTATAATTATTTGAATGTAAACTTTTAATGAGCAAAAAATGTATTAAAGTTGATTAGGTCGCCTTGCTTTAACTGTCTTGGCCACTAGGGGGCACTGCGGCGCGGTGCAGCGCAGGAGTGGAGCCTGTTCCGGTTAAGAAATCAGTGCAGGTGCTTAAACAGATTGACTTGGCATGATTCAGAGATGATTTGTTTATTTTAACAATAAATGAAGTTAAGTACCGACAAATTTTAGTAGTAGAAATTAGAGAGATGGCAAAATGTCAAATTCTGAGTAGCATTTGTGGGAAGAAAATGTCACGGAGCACATTGCGACTCTTTTGTGATGCTAATCCTGCTAGCAACTGCGGTCTGTAATGACTTAAATTGAAGCCACCACCAGTAGTGAGTGCTCATTTTCCAAGGCTGGGGACTATAAAAATAAGCCAAGAGCCACCAGAAATAACATTTGTATCTAAATTATCTCAATTTTATTGCTTTAGAATTTGCTGTATTGGTGCATGGTGCTGTACGGACGAAGCTGGAGCGGAAACGCCTTACTAAGGTAAGACAGCTAAGTTAGCTTTGTTACTGACAGATGTTAATTGCAGGTTGTAAGATGTTATTGGACTCGATAATCAATATTCTGCTAACTGATAAGCAAATAGCTAACACTTTGTGAGTTTGTATACCGTTAATTCAGGGTTTAAAGAGTAGCAGACTGGTGTATTGCTTATAGGCATTAATTCAGTGGTGTGTGCCTATGGGAAATAGTGGCCACCAGATTCATTTCTGTTTAACTAGAGGCTAGACATCAGAACCATTACAGTATTTTACATTCAGCATACATTTCGGATGATCTTAATTGGTTGGTAATGGCAACCTTATATCAAATATTTAACTCCGAGGAAAGGACCCTGCAGAGCTGAACAATGTGTTCATGATTCTGATGGGCTGAGGAGAGAAGCTGTTGAGCAGACTGGTGGTTTTGCCACAGATGCTCCTGTACCTCTTCCCAGAAGGCAGGATGGAGAACAGACTGCGGGAGGGATGTGACGGGTCAGCTGTGATGCTGCAGGCTGTGCCAGAACAGCACTGGTGATAGCGAGGAGAGGAGTCGAGAGGAGCACTGATGATCTCGCTAGCTGCCTTCACTGCCTGGGCTAGTTGTTTCTGTTCGGGAGCTTTGCACTTACTGAGCCATGAAGTGATGTAGCTGGTTAAGATGCTCTTAAATGTGCCCCTGTACAAGATGGTGAGGACTGGGATGGGGACATTTGCCTTATTAAGCCTACATAGGGAGTGCAATGGCTATTAGGCCTTCTTAATGATGGTTGTAGTATTGGTGTTGGAGGACAGGTCGTCTGGAAGGTGTACCCCCACCGACCCTCTCCGCTGTAGCGCTGTCAATGGTCAGTGGAGTGTGCAGGTGCATGTGGGCTCTCTGGAAGTTAATAACCATCACCTTGATCTTGCTGTTAAGGGAGAGGTTATGGCTCTTGCACTGCACCTGTATTCAAAGCTGTCTGTGCTTCCGTAGATTATTCAGTAAAGACTTCCACAGGTCTTTTCTGCAGAAATGCAGGTAATTCCCAGGAGGTCCCAAACTCATTCTCAATTATGTAGGCGGTGTTAATCATATCTCAAAGCCTGTTAAATATAAACCCATATGAAAGAGCCCTAATTGGGCTTAAAAATAGTTTCTCTGAGGCTGGTGAGGATGAGCTTTTCTGTCTGCAGTGAAAATGGCAAAATTAACATTTGAGTCATAATTTTCTCCGGCTTGTAAACTGATATGAAAGTCACTGCCCAGGAGGTCGAAGCCATTTTAACAAGAGCATTAAAAGCAGTTTTGCTATGTTGTAATGGTAAATATAAAAGTATTTCTCAGATGTGTATTTTAGCAGATCAGATGTGTACAGTCTTACTGTAAACTGAATTTTGAAAAGCAAGACATTTACAACCATGGTGGCCCTGTGTCTGATAAGAATGTTTCTAAACAGCTGCACCAGTGAGCAATAGCTACACTATAAGAACAGCACCCATTATGTCTCTGCTGTTTCCAGCCTCTCTATTAGAAAATGTCAAAACCCCAGGCTTTAAACCTGTTACGTGCCAATCTGATATGTGCTCACACAGCCAAATTACACAAATTGCAAGTAACGAGTGAGCCAGAGCAGGGGAAAAGCCAGTAGTCTGATAAGGCTGGCTTATATAGCAAATTGACACTGGAACAAAGATGTCCCCAGTGTTGTAATAATGGAAAACTAAGACATGTCAATTCTAGGATCGCAGAGCTAATTTTCCAGTCATACTGTACCAAACCTCAGGGAAAGATTAAATGTAGTCATTTAGCCAGTTGAATAATGTGTTTCTTGTCTGTTATACTGTATAAATCTGCATTCATTTTAATGCTGATGGCCTATCACTGAAACCAAACACATTTAGCCAGTGTATCTACAAGATTAATCTCTGCCCACATTCATTTAATTTTAGGCTGAGGAAGATGTCCAGAAGATGTTGGTTAGGTTTGTGCATGTGCAGCCACCAGAGGGCAATGTATAAGTGCACATGTGCCTCCTGTGGGCAGCTACTGCAGCACATAATTGCATGAGATTTTGTGCACTAATCTGTTCTGTTTATCACCATAGCCTGCCATTTTGCTGCTGTAGTTTCCCATCTCACCCCGTCTGGGAATTACATATTAACAGCATGTGGGGTCAGAGGTTGAACATGTGTTTCCTTTTCCTCAGCCCATTTGATAAGCTGCTGTCAGAAACAGGTTTGCTCGGCCGGGCTGACTAATGATGTTTTCAGGGAGAGCGGGTCGGCTGACTAATGATGTTTTCAGGGAGAGTGGGTCCTCCCACTGCTGAGAGCTGCGCATGTACCTGAGGAGGACTGACTGACAGATTGAGATCATGGAAATTACAAGCAAAAGGTCTTTATGGAAATGTATGCAGAATTAAAATATTACACATTCTGCAGTCTTCACTCGTTATTATAACGGAGTGAATATCAAGGTGAGCAAAAACATTGGTTTTTCAATCCGATTAGCTTCTGGGACTGTCCTGGGCTTTGCAAAAATGCACAATTGTAGGAAAGGCTTGCTTCCGATATTCAGAGGTGGTGGTATTTGCTACAGAATCCTCCTGTTGATCAAAGATGCAGTTTGCATTTCACCTCAACATGCTTCATCTGTCTTCAGTCCAAATTAGCCACTGGTCTTGGTTACCTTTGATATGGTTCCATTAAAAAAAAAAAATCTGGCCTTTCATTTGATTTCACAACTAACCTGCTTCAACAGGAGCATGTCTGAGATAGGACGCTGTTGGGCATGCCATGGCAGTAGTGCACAAACAATTACGCTGCCACGAAACCTGCTTGTTTTGTGGCACTCAGCAACAGAGCCCTGAATAAATGTGCCTGCATGCATGAAAGGCTTGAGAGGGAGACGCATTAGCAGGGTAGATATTGCAGCTGGCTTCTGTGCATGTGCACAGAACAATTACATGCTTCATTGTTGTGAAAAAAAAAAACAGGCCGAGACAGCAACTATTTGCTTCTAATTTAGGTTGAGACGTTCCTGACAGCGGGGGGGCATTTTGTTGGATACTGTATGTCAGCAGCTCTCCTGCAGGGTGCTGGCTGAGAAGGGCACAGAAAGGATTGGATGACAAATAAAAATTACTTAACCATAATATTGGACACTGTGTTTAGTTTAATTACTGTATAGTGGCTCTGTTGTGGATAGATCTTATGGGTAATTTACTAAATAGATGTGAGTTTAACTTCTGATGCATTTTTCTACATTGTATAGTCTTGAGCCAACTCAGCAGCAGCAGCAGCACACCACCAACTCACAAATCATTGCTGCTGTAACTGATGACGATGTGTCTATAAATTAAGCTGTCACTATGTCTTCCCTGAATGTTTGACTGGCTAAGACGTAATCACACTGATCATCTCCTGACAGCGAGTTACACAGACAGAATTTTTCAAATCAGTGTCTGAGCCCATAGTGATCAGGTGACTAATGTACCCATAGAAAACCAACATATGAATGCTTGATCTTAATCAGGTGGGTCAATTATCAGCCCACACAGGGCAAAACTAGCAGTGATAATGCATGGCGTTTGAATTAGAATGTGACCAATACCTGGTTTTGTGGTATCTTTGTGAACTCTTGCAGAGGCACAAGTGAGTGAGGTCTCTTAGGGCTTCTAATCATTTTCTTTCAGATGCACCTAGGACTAATTATAAATGCTGGGGTGATCGTGCTTTTGTTGTTGTGGCCCCCAAACTGTGGAACAGTCTGCCTATTAACATTAGAACTGTAGCGGACCTATTGGTCTTTAAATCTTGGCTTAAAACTTATTTCTTCTCTTTGGCCTTTGGATCATAGTGGAGTTGATATGCCTATGTTGTCTGTGTTGGTTTCTGATGGTGTGAAGTTCTGTGTTCAATGAGCTTTTGCTATATAAATAAATTTTGTTTTGAAAAACAATCTGATAGTGATACTAGAGCATGGATTGGGCCGCACTGACACTCTTGGATCTTGAAGCTGTTCCTAACACTTGCTGTTTCCAAGGTCAGGAATTAACTTGGAAGCTTTACCTCAAACACATTTGGCATTTCTACACCACGCTGCTGTTTTTGATATGTTATAAGCCACAGTATATTTGGCCGATGCTGATGTTTTGGTGGGAATTAGATGCAGAAATTAGGCTTTAAAAAGCAGAATGAGTGAAATAAAAGTATAACTGTCATGAAATTAGCGAGCAGAAAAGATGAATGGCGGTAAATGGAAATGGATTAAAAAGAGATGAAAAGTGGCCCAGATTCCTCCAGTACCAAAAAGAACAAAGCTAAGTGTAAAGATAAAGGACTGTGATGGTCTAATCAGCAGCAGTAGGCTGTGCTGCTGCAGAGGGCTGATGATGCAGTTCATTTTTCACCCTGAGGCTCTGTCTCAGGGGAACTGAACGTCCATGTCCTGATTCATGACCAGCGGTGGTGCAGTTGAACAATTTTAAGAAGAACCAGGGGTATACAGTAGAGTGTAGAGTGCAAGCCTTAATAAATGGTGTTCTTAAGAGCCATTCATGGCCTGTCCTGAGCACGGGGAAATGATGATGGATCAGTTTTCTGTGCCGTATCTCATTTCTTATCCAAATGAAATCCGGGAAGTCCATTCATCCCGCTTAGGAAATAATAAACTGGTGGAGCTGTTAGCTGTATATAGACCTCATGAGTTGACCCCCCTCCTGTGTTTACTGTCTTCTGGTGTCCTTTACCTTCGTCCTCTACCTCCTCCTCTCTTTATGTTCACTTTCATAAGTATCTGCTTAGTTTACGACAGAATAGTCTCTCCTGTCATTCACATAAATGAATGCATAAATACAAATAAATTAACCAGTACTGCTCTGTCTCACTTTCATAACTGTTACTTAAAGATGAATCATAGGAGTCTGGTTTTTACTACTTCCTGTAGTATCATTCATCCATTTTTATATGGATCATCCCGCTTACTGTTACACAGAGTTGGATTCTATCCCAGGCTGCATTTGGCAAGCCTGCTCATAGCCGTACAAGCACTTCTAGTATTTAAAAGCTGCTCCAGAGCCAGTTTTCCTATGTAAAATGCAATGACTCTATATAATAGATTACAACAGACACACAAATTCACTCTTTCTGTAGTCTTTGGTAGCAAATCTCACATAGGCCTTGAAGGGTCAGGCTGACTGTTTTTAAAGGAATGCGCGACTGAATATCGATCTTACATTTGGAAATTAAATCAAAATAGAACAGCGTATTAAATAATTTATTAGTCAGTCAGGAAGTTTGATAATTGAGTTACTTTTCAACGGCTTCAGCTTTTCAAATGTGGTGATTTGCTGCTTATCCTTCTTAAAGGGTTGCCTGCTGAATATCTTTAGGTTTTGTATTGTTGGTTGGATAAATCTGAATGACATTTTATAGACCAAACAATTACATAGGAAAAAATCGGTGACAAAAATAATTGGTTGGATCCTCGTGTGTGTGTGTGTGTGTGTGTGTGTGTATATATGTCACTGATATGTTTTGTCTGTATGTCCTCCAACACTTTAGGTAGCAAATCTTTTCCTTAGCCTTTCTTGCACCATCTTCCTAGGAGTATAGAGTTCTGGCCCTGTTACATGGTGTGTGTGTGTGTGTGTGAGCACTTGCTAATGTTGGTATGCCTTGCACATGTGATAAATGTGGACAGATGGACATCATGAAAACACAGTGCCTCCGGCCATGGCTATCGTCAGCACGGAGGCATAAAAATAAGGGGGTGTAGTGGTAGAGGCAAAATGTGTCAGAGTGCAATGGAAGGAGAAGCTATGCCTGTGACTTGAACATCCACTGAAGCATCTGCTTTTTGCAGCAGACAGAAACAGATTTGTCTCAAGCAAAGAGGAGGCTGGAACATTTCGTAAGTGAAGACAAAGAAAACACAAACTTGCATCATGTTTGTTTGTTTGGGGTTTGACTGGAGCTCTTGTAATTATCCTATATTGTTGCACCACCAGTGGTCTGCAATGGTTTAATGGTCCCCAACTGGAGGACTGGCACCACCTTGATATTGTTGTGCTCAGTTCTCAAAATTTGCACCACAGTAGTGGGATGGAAACACACATTAATCTGTATTTCCTTTTTTGTCTGTTGGAAATTAGCTTAAAATTTGTGCTGGAATTGGTTGGAAACTTGATAAATGCAGTAATCAGCGGGTAGGAGTAAAGGCATGTCAGGCCTCAAAGCAGCTGGGCAGCACCTCATCCTTTGTGGCCTCTCCTACGCCTGGTGTTGTTTTTTTTGAGTCACATTAATGATTATATCGGCAAGGTTGAGCTGTTTGCCCAGAAAGATGATTCCCTGCTGAATAAGCATGGCGTTTATTCTCAGCAGTTTGGTAATTAGAATTTAATATCTGGTCACCAAAGCTTTGCATCTATTGGCACATGCTGCTCCTGAAAGCTGTCTTCATTTCTTTACTGATTTGATGTAGGAGTTTTTACCTTTCACTACGTGTACATGTCATTACTGTTCCACCACATAGGTGTTTGACACTGTAACTGATGACAGACACAGTGTGACAGCAAACGGGTGATACTGCACTCATTAGACAATTAATCCCTACTAAAGCTCAGATCTGTGCTGTGTGACTGTGAGAAATATTTTTAGCTTCCAGTAATGGGTGTTGAGGCAGTGATTGAAAAGTAAACAAATTTGTATTCAGTGAGTTTAATTATATTTATGCTGTTAATAGCTCTAATAAGTGCACTGTCATTTTGGTGCTTTGTGCAATCTAGGCAGATTTTAATGGAGTAGCTGTCTGCCATATTTTTTCACATGTGAATCTCATGTATTTATATCCAGAGATGACGGTCACATATTTGACTGTGAGATGTGATTGTCGTTCATGGAAATCAGTTACAGACAGATAAAGTGAAAGACAGAGGGTTTACCAGTCGGTGCTTTGGTGTTAAAAGAGATAACAGCAGAATTCCCCCACTGTGACTGGACTAAAGCAAACTTTATCACTGCAGTTAAGCAGAATGTCAGCTGGCATTGAGAGAGGGTTTTGCGAGGCTCAGATTTCATCCTGGAAATTGATTTTTAATACATCTAGAATACATAAGTTCTTAGGATTTACATGTCCATTGAGAGACAGATCTTAATGGCTAATGGTTTATCAACTGTGAAATGAAAAAGTGTTGTATGCAGCAGTTACAAGGTTCTCTCAGAGTGACAGATAGATGATGGCCAGAGGCATTTTGTGA